CGACCTTACGGGGCTCTTGTGAGATGAAAAGAATGAAGGTCTACACGGCGCTGAGCAACTAGCACGTCTAGTGGGCGCTTGAGAGTAGGGGCTCTTATCGTGGGAGTGAAGACAGAGAAACTGGTGAGGGGAGACCCCAGCGCCGGGGCAGCCAGGATTCTAGCTGGCTCCTCACTGCTCATGGACCGAGCAAATCTACTCGCTGTGCCACTGTGACTGATCCCTGGCTGAGCAGCACGCATGGCGTTCCCTTGACCAGCAGCTCCCAAAGCATGTTTTCTGCAGGCTGGTATCTGCAGGAAGGACTGGTTCAGCCTGCGCCCATTGTGTTTATAGCACATGTGTTTGGCCTTGGCAAGCTGAAAGTGCGTGACCCCACAACATTATCACAAGGGGACTTTTTTTTTTTTTTTCCTCCAGAGGTCAGGCTGGGTCTGCTTTCTTACCCAAAGAGGGCCTTGAGTTTGAGAAATGTCTTCTGGACACATTGCATGAGGGCTCATGAGCTCCCCAGTCTTGGCTGTGTCCCCTTCCTCTATTATCTCCCCTCCCCACCCCCTTTTTGGGCAGAACCTGAAGTAAATGGAAAATTTATGCCCAGGCGAAGAAAAGATGTGTAAATGTCTTAGATAATATCTTTTCTTCTCTGACTTTGAAGTGTGTCAAAGAAAAGCCAAATGGCCTAAAATTGATAATAAGTAGACTTTTAGTGTGGTTATATCTTCTTGTCAAGTCAACAAGTGTCTATTAAATTGTAAGTGTTGGAAGACGGGGGTTGTGAAGTCTTTTTGGACAGAGAGTCCTGTGGAACAGATTTAACAGTCAAGAAATGAAAGTCTCAAGAGAAGTGACATTCTGAAGATTATCAGCCAGCTGGAGGGATTTAAATCCAAGACTCTGATCTTTGGCTTGATTCTCTCTCCCTTCTCCTCCTCCTAGTGGCCACCCCGTGGTGTCACTGGTGTGGGGCTGGGCAACATAAATAAGGATACCAAGAATTCAGGGGAACACCTTCTGTCTTTGAGGGGCTTTCAATCTTTGAGAGAAATGAGCAGATGATCCCTAACAACATGCTCAGGAGAAAGAACAAAGGCTTTCATGCAAACTATCTTGGCTTTATATCCTCCAAAGGCCCCACCCCTCGCCCTCTGTGGGACCTGGGGCATGTTACCTAACCTCCTAAAGCCCCAGTTTCCTCATCTAGAAGACCACCTCTTAGGGTCACTATGAAAGCATTTAGTACAGAGCCTAGCACATACTACGTGTTCAATAAATGGAAGCAAAAAATCAATCCAGCCCCACAAAAATGCTACTTCCTCCTCTTATACTTCCCTGTGGGTACCCTGTCATTTGCAATGTAGATTTACATCCGGTTTCCCCTTCAGTCCTAAGAGCTTTCGAAGGTGACTAGGGAAGATTCTGAATAAATAGTCACGGAATAAATGGCTACGTGGGTGGATCAATAATAAAGCTAACAGGCACAGAACACTTACGATATGCCAGGTACCATTCTAAGCACTTTACCTGTTCTATGTAACTTATATAATACAGGCATTATATTGGGACAACAACTCTATTATCATCCCCATTTTATAGATAAGGAAACCGAGGCCCAGATTTTAAATACCTTGCCTAATGTCATAGGTAGTATATAACTTAGCTGAGATGAAGCCAGTTAAGCTGGCTCCAGAGCTTGGGCTCCTACCCAGAACACTGTACTCACTGACTGATTGACTGATTGACTGAATAAATTGAATGAATGAATGCAGAGGTCAGGTCACCCTCTTTTTTACAGCTACTGAAACTGAGGCTGGCAGAGTATATGACTTGCCCGAGGTCACACAGTTGGCTTAACAGTAAAATGGCCATAACATGGCAGGATTCCACTTCCCTGCCCCCTTTGAAGTTAAATGTGGCCATGTGACTTATTTTATCCAATAAAATGTGGGTAGAAATTGCATATGGCACTCCTGGATGGAAGCTTTAAGAACCTGCCACATTTCCTGGCCGCACACATTGAAATGAAGCCTCTATCTGCCTAGGTCAGCTGAGTGACTAAAATGAGCAGAGTCCCCCTCCTACCCATGAGAGCATTATGTGAGAAATACATTTTTATTATGCTAAGCCACTGAGATTTGGGAAGGTTTGTTAGCACAGAACCTGGGTTCTCCTGACCGAGACAGGTAGAACTAAGAAGGAGAGTTTAAGTAATCAAATGCCTCATACAACTTCTGTGGCATTATCTTACCCAGTCAGCAATAGACCCTCAGGAGTCTCACCTACCAAGGACTTCTCCCCTTCACCCACTGGACTATTCTTGGATTGAATGATCTGGATCATTTATGGCATGAGGGGAAGACAGCTGCAGAATTCCAGCCCCTGACAGAAGGTTTTAGACAGACACTGACAGCTTGGTTCTGCTGGCTTGGTAAAACAGATCCCCCCTTCCCAAAAGGGCAGCCTCGTATCAATTTTTCTTAGTGAATAGAATATTGTAGAGAGAGTGAGCTGTTCATAAAGTATTGAGATTAGCAATAGTATCTCCTAAAGCTAAAGATGTAAAGTCAAGTTCAATTGACCAGGTTTATATTTGACTGATTTTTTTAAAAGGTCGTAAAGATTTTTAACAATAATGAGTTACATAACCTAATAGACTTACTACTTTCTATTTGGCAAATCATTAACAATTGATATTGACATCAAAAATGCTCAACTAATTTTTCAAAACATTTTTGATTGGTTAAATGAATCCAACTAGAATTTTTAAAAAGCAGTTTCTATATGTAGAGAGTATCATTTATATTATATTTAACTAATGAGAGATTATACAAAAGAGGAGGATCAGGATTTTAAATACTGATTTACATATATTGATTTATTCTTATGAAAAATGTTTGTTGACACACACCAAAAAGATAATAATGTCTAGGTCTCGATGAACCTTATATTCATCCTTATATTTTTCTGCATCCTCAATTTTATGTATAGACTTCATATTTTTCGATATCATCTGGACTTTGCCATAAACTGTACTTCTAACCAAGGAGTTCAATTGAGTTTTTCTTTCATAAGTTATGTTTCCTTTCCTGAGATTGGCTGGCTATCTCTGGGGTCACTGGAGGCCATCTGGAAAGTGAACTTGAGCCCAGCTGCGATGTCAGGTGAGGGCAGACCCAGAACATGACCGTGTGTGGGCTGGATGAGACACTGGAACACACTCCACATCAATGATAAGGGAACTGAGGCCCAGAGAACAGATGTGCCCACAGCCACAGAGCTAGTGAGTGTAAAGTAGAACAAGAACTAGAACCCAGGCCTGCCTGACGCCAAAGTTCATATGCTTTTCAGCACTCCCCAATTTTGAGGAGGTTGTAAGTCCCTGGTTTGCATTATTATACTAGATATTCTTCTGAATCTTAGGTGGACATGATTCCCCGTGTTCTGGTCCATTTACCATTTGCAGTGCACTTTACAGTTAAAGCATTTAAAAATGCATTATCTCACTCAAACCCATAACAACTCTGTGGGCCACAAAGGACACTTAGCACTGAACCTCAGTCCTTCTGTTTTCTTGGCCCCTCTTTCCACATCAGCATGCTCCCTCACCTTCACTTAGTCAGTGTGGAAAACCCTGCGGTACCACCATATCTTGGTGCCTCTAATTTCGTAACTATGTACTTTAAGGCAAATGACTTGAACGCCCTGAAGTTTAGTTCCCTCCTCTGTAAAATGGGCATAATAATGTAAATTGTCCAGACGCTCAAAGGAAACTACACACGTAGCATGCAGGGCCCAGGTTCATTTCCATGTTGCAGCTCACCGGGTCCTCCCACAGATGCTTTTGACCGACAGTTTCATGGCATGTCCTTTCTATTCCCTTCTATAGGGTCTTCTCCATGTCATAGGCTGGTGCCCTCTGCCTCACCAAACCCTGCCCCTCCAGTGCAGTGTCACCTCCTCTGAGAAGCCTGCCCTGACTCCTTCAGCCAAACTGAACCCTCCCACTTTTGAATTCCTATTGAAATTATGGTTCTTGCCCCACTTTCCTGTACTTTAGGCTCCTGACACTAACTGGGTGACTGCCTTCTTTTTCTACCATGCCATACCAGTCAGGGATCTTTTATAACACATAAAGCTGGATCTTTAACTCAGGCTTTCAAACATTTTTGATATCTATATATCTACCTAACATCCTCACACACATATATATGATGTGTATATATGTATGTCATATAGGCACCTGTATTTATATATGTATATAAATATGCATATGTATATATTTTGATAACTCAGCTCCATTAGAGAGCTGAGTTTTTGCTCCATTAGAAGAATAGATCAAGACCTGGAAGACCTTTGCTTTTCTTCCCTAGCTTTGAAAAGATAAAGAAATGGATGCTAAACAGGGACAGAGAGAGGAGAGGGGAAGGGAGGGAGAGAAGCTTGGGAATGGAGAAAGGAGATGAGAAAGGCTAAATATATTATCTCATTTAACCATCAGAACCACCCTGATGTGATGTTCACTTTACAGTTGAGGAAAGGGAGGCCTGGGAAGGTTAAGTGCCACATCCAAGATCACAGAGCCAGACTGATCCTCGCTCTGCCTGGGTCTGAAGTTAGTGCTTTTCCTGCAAAACTAGGCTGTGTCTCCCTCACACAGTGGGTCTGCACACACTCTGAGCCGGGCTACGTGTGCTGAATTCCGGTCGTACCACTTGCTCATTATGTGACCTTGGGTAAGTTACCTAATTCTAGGCCTCAGTTGCATCACCAATAAAATGGGAGTGATACACAGAGGATCCCTTCCGGAGGAGGCTGTGAAGATGAGTAATCCCCAGTAAGTAAAGTACTTCGAAAAGTTCCCGGCGCAGAATTAGGGCTCTGTCAGCATTATCCCTGATCTTTTCCTCAGGTCTCCCCATGAAGGGAGCAATGGCCCCGGCAGATCCAGGAGGAGCCCACTTCCTCCACACCTAACTTGTCCTCTCTCCCCCTTCCCCAAGCCCAGGACCCTGCCTGGACCCCAGCTGCTCATGTCATCACAGCCTAGGTTCCCATCCTTTCTGCAGGGGATTTCAGCCAGGGCACAGGTGGACTTTCGACGACAGGAAACACATCTTGTAGAAAACCCGTGAAAGCAAAACTCTTCAATACGCTCCACTTTACCAGTGTCTCCTGGGTTTGCAGTTCGCACAGCAGCAACTTGGTCTTCTGCTCCATTTTCACATCTCCCTCCGTCTCCAACATGGTCAGGAAAATGCCTGGGATCACAGGGCGACTAAGTGCAGCAGCTGCAATCTGAACCCAAACCAGCTGGTTCCAGACCCTGCCTGCTTAACCACGACCCCACAGGGCCACCCCCTTTCCTTCTAGAATATGCCTCGAGGACAGGCATCACCTCCAACCAGACTTCCAGCCCTGGCCGGCACCTAGTGGCTTGCTCGTCATAAATCATCAGGACCCCCTGACAGACGTGTTGCCTAACAACATTAAATGTTTTAATCTTTTCTCTTCAGAGTTGGTTATGTCAGGTTGAATTGAGGATAAGGTTAAAATATTCATTCATTCATCCATCCATCCATTCATCCATTCATCAAACATGAACTAAGTATCTAACCTGGGCCAGACGCCAAGCTAGGTGCTAGAGGAATAAAAACAAATAAGACAAGAACCCTGCACTCCAGTGGCTTAGAGTCCATGTTGGGGTGGGGGTGGGGCAGTACAGAGATTCTCAACCCTGGGTGAACATTTTCATCTGCTGGGAGCTTTTACAGAAATACTGATGCCTGGCCCTCACCTCCAAATGGTTTAATTTAATTGTTCTGAGATGGGGCCCCAGACTTTGTGGGATTTTTTAAATAACCTTTTTATTTTAGAACAGGTTTAGATTTACAGAATTATTATGAAAGTCATAGAGAGAGTTGCTGTCTACACCATATGCAGTTTCACCTACTATTCACATCTTACATCAGTATGGTACATTTGCCACAGTGAATAGACCAACATCCATGCATTGTTATTTACTAAAATTCATGATTTAAATTTCCACACTTTTTTTCTAATGTCCTTTTCCTGTCCCGAGATCCCATCTAGTACATCCCAGTACATTTAGTTATCTTGTCTCCTTAGGCTTCCCTTGGCTGTGACAGTTTGTTGGCCTTGGTGTTTTTTTTTGGTTTTGGGGGTTTTTTTTTTTTGGTCTTTTTAAAAGTTCTTCAGATTCTAATACATGGTTAGGGTTGAGGACTTCTGCTCTGAGGTCAAAAGCATGGAAATTCTAGAGGCAGGCTTGTCCGGGTTCAAATTCTGGCTGGGCGAATAGCTGTGTGACCTTGGCGCAGTAAGCAAGCCTGTAGGGCCTCCATTTTCTCACTTGTAAAATGGGGATAACAATAGAATCTAAGCCTCTGAGTTGGGATGGCAATGAGGCCAATATTTCTCAACTTCCTCACATCACAGCACCTAGGGAAAATATATAGGATTTGGTATTATGTACTGGCATAGTATACAACGCAAGTTATGCTGGCGTAAATGGATGAGTCTACTCACAGTGGAGAACGAGAGAATCAAAGAGTGGGCCACCTGTAGTTCTGGGATGCCACTGTAGGAAGCTCTGGGTTGACACATGGGAAGGCACTCAGATTCCCCCCGGATCCGCACGGGCCCATCGTAAATGGTTTCCATAAATACAGAGGAGGAGACAGACCTGTGAAGGGCAGTGATAGTGGGCAAGGCAAGGGCAGGGACTGCAGGGGCCCACTGGTTTCCAAAGAGAATGTGCATTGTCTCTGCAGCAGGAGGGAAATGCTCTCACTTCCCGAGAGACTTCGGGTGACTAGCTGTGGACAAACCCCAGGGCACCTGGTTGCACTGCGAGGAACAAGAGCAGCCAGGCTGCTGACACATGAAGAATGCAGAACGCCTGGCCAATTGAGCCCTGGCACTTGGAAACTGAAGCCTCAAGATTTCTTGTCGGGAGCCTGGAAGGCCAGATCCGTCCCGCGGCTACGGCCTCTCGGGCGCCACCACCTGGTATCCGCGGGGTGGTTTGCAGCCGGCAGAACCTGATGCTGTACCGGTACATTTTTTTCTTTAATGGATTTTTCTTTGAGAAAAGACTTGTGTATATTAAATAAAATCAATTTCTAGGGGAGAAACTTAAAAACAACAATAGAAAAAAAGTTTTAACACTGTCTAGGCCATAGCAGAACCCAGAGAATATATTCATATAATTAAAAAATTCTAGGTGCTTCATAATTGACCTTTTGATACAAAATGACCTGTTAAATTTGCAATTTGTGGTTCTTGGTGTGGAGGTTCATGGGACAAGCTAGGGAGCCTTCAAGACTTGAGCTGACTTCCCTGAGGAGTTATTTGGCTCTTGAATCAGGTTTTCCTTGTCTAAGAGGGAGCACAGCAACAGCACCCACCTTCTGGACAGCTTCTTTCTTGGCAGGCCGAGTCTGCAGAACTACCACGGCTTCATCCACTCCAGAGCTGGGAGCCAGCGACCATAGCACATGCGGCAGCTCGGGGTTGCCAATGTCCAGCAACACTCCCTGAATCTCTCCAGCCAACTTTGAATGCAAGTGGGAGCAAACTTTCTCCTAGCATCTGCTTCCATTCCTGAGAAAGTGCTGCGGCCCAGCATGGAGAGAGTCAGGGGCTCCTGCTCCCACACAGGCACTTCAGTGTGTGGTGCCTGCAGATGCTGTAGGGTATAATGAGGGCAGTGGCCACTGCAGGCATATTTGCGAGGTGCAAAGACGCTGGCCATTTTGATTCCAGCCAAGCTTTGTTTCCTCAAAGCTGATCTGGGGATCAAGTTCCAGATTCAAGTATTCAGTGCATCTTCAGTAACAGGAAGTCTTCTCCTCCCATCTCCCTACATTTGCTAGGTATGTGTTTCTTGAGGCTGAAGAAATTAGAGATGTGAAGAACTAACTCAAGATGGTTCTCTCTGCAATTTGCTCACAGATGGATCAGCACCATCCCTATCAGACAGTCCTTGCACCTTTGAGACCCAGAGAGATTTATGGATGATTTAGAAATAATGATAAATGCTGATGTGCAGAAAAGACTTCTCAGTGTTATAAAGCATTTCTGTGTTCCTCATCTTATAGCGAAGTGCATAAATGTCAAGAGTGTTATAGAGGACACATCAGGGTTTGAATTTTAGCCCTACCGTGTGATCTGGAGTAAATTATTTAACCTCTCCAGGCCTCCATTTCCTCATCTATAAAATCAGGATAAAAACCGCCATCCTCAAAGTGTTGTGTTGCGAGGATTAAGAAGTGCTAAGCTTAATACCCAGCATGTGGCAAAGCCTCAGTCAAGGGTAGCTAGGACTATGAGGATTCCAACCACGACTTTGTGAGGCAAGGCAGGTCTGCTTCAAAGACGAAGAAATTAGAGCTCAGAGACAGGGGTGACTGATCCACGGGAGTGGCAGAGGCTCTTGGGGCTCAAACTCTTGATTCTCCAGGCACTGAGTCCAGGGCCCTTTCCTCATACCATATACAAGGTGCCTGTACTCCCTGCCAAGTCTGTAGACACCCAGCTGAGGTGGAGAGCTCGGGGCTGGAGAAACAGCCACATCAGAGGGAGCCAAAGCAGGCAGTGGGGGATCCAGCAGACAGGCAGGAGCTAGATGCCCAGAGCTCAGGGCTTAGACACAACCCTGGATGGATGGCAGGGAGGGCCAGAGGGGTGCATGAGGCCGAGGCATGAGGTCCTTGGCATGAAGGGAGAGGTGGCCTCACAAGCAGCCAGTGAAGCCTGACTCAGGGAGTGGCATAGTGACATGAGAGGCCAGAGGCTGGAGACCAGGAGACATGAAGAACTCAGAGACAGAAATAGAGGGAGGAAAACCTGACAGAGAGGCCCCATGATAGCATTAACTGAGGATGGCATCTGTCTTTTTGGGCATTGTAGGTGAAAAGAGTCTGTGGTAAAGTCAGCTAAGGAACTCCTTTAGGGCTCCTTCTAATGACATAAAAAAAAAAAAAAGGGGGTCTTTCCTTAGCAAACCAAGCAATATCCTCTTCATCTCCAAATTCAAGTCAAATTCCTCCAAGTCTACAGTCAAGTGAAATTAGCTGGGAGAAATAAGACTTGATATGATTTGATCTGGGATTCTCTGATGTCCATGTGATGTGTCTATGTGATGTCCATGTGTCTGTCCAGAAGTAACCAGAATCTCTTTAAGCCTGTCTTCAGAGACCATGAGTCAAGGAATCTTAGAATGAAAGGTCGTGCAGCTCAAATTTCTCTCCAGTGCATGAAACTTCCCTTCCAAAGGGAAGTGGTCTGCCAGGCTTTGCTTGAACATCTCAAGCTTGATCCCCACCAAGGCAGCCCCTTACATATATGGACAGCTCTGAATTTTAGAAAATGTTTCCTTGTTTGCCTGTCAGGATTCCTTCAGTTGCCAGTGACAGAAAAGCCCAGCTGAAATGGACATTACCAAAAAAATAAATAATTAAGGAATACATTGTGTGGCAAACTCTTGACGTGCCAACCAGATAGATGCCCCTCCAATGAAGGATGTTTAGCACCAGCTGATGGAGAGCTGCCAGCCAGCAATCTTTAATCCTCAGCCCTTTCAGGAATTACTTTGCTGCCCCAACCTTTCATGGGGTAACTCAAAGCCAGTGAATAATCAGTGCTGGAGTATAGATGTCTGGGTCATCTCCACCCAACTCAGGGCTTGGCTGCAGCTGTTTTAAGGCCTGTGTTTGGCTTGAGTCCTCCCTCTGCAACTTCCACTCACTTTCCTTCCTCAAGTGTTCATCCCCAGGACACTCCCCAATAAATATCCTGCACCCCAGACTCCATCTGAGTCCACTTTCCAGGGAACAAAATTGTGACATACTGGCTCACCTAACCAAAAGATCTACAGGACATCAGGCATGGCTGCTTTCAGGGGCTCAGAATAAAAGCGTTGGGGCATAGTGTTACCCCTTCTTTTGGCTGTGTGCTCCTTTGTGTTGACTTCCCCCATAGATACATGCACTTGTGAATCCAGTGAGGGGAGAAGATTTTTACCAACAAATTCCTAGAAACTCAAAATGTACTTCTTATAAACCTGATCTGAGTGCCAAGATGATTCTTAGACCAATCATTGTGGCCAGAGAGGAAGGGGTATGCTGATTATCTTAGACCAGAGCTATAAGATCACCTGGTAGAAGGAATAGAGTTAGCCCACCAAAATGACCATGTTGGCCAAATGTAAGAGGGACCTATTCCCTGAACAAGACGTGGGTTCTGTGAAAGAAAGAAAGAAAAGCAGACACCATGCAGGCAAAACCCACAAAAGGTTTTGCCACGTGGGACTCGGTCCCTATGTTGTTCCCATCCATGGGGCCCCCTGATGCCATTCTGAGCCCTTTGCCACCAGACAGCCCTTCATGTACCTGGAGAGCTCTACTCCACTCCCACCTCTGGTCTGCTGCACCCCCCCCCCCCC